TGGTCCTTCCTTGACATGAGACACATTCAATTCCTTGCTCAGTGTGTCTGTTTGAATCATAAGCTTGTGCCTCATCATGTAAGGTTTTATGTGCTGATATTGGGGTGTCAGAGGAGTCACAGAATCATGGAATGTTAATGAGTTGGAAAGGATCTTAAAGATCATCTGGTCCCAATGCCTCTACCATGCCAGGGACACCTCCCACTAGGTCAGGTTGCTCAAGGCTTTATCCCATCTGGCTCTGAATGTTACCAGGGCTGGAGCATCCACAACCTCCCTGAGCAACCTGGTCCAGTGTTTCACCACCCTCACAGCAAGGAATTTCTTCCTAATATCTAACCTAGATTTGCTCTCTTTATACCCATTACTCATTGTCCTATCACGACAGTTCCTGACAAAGAGTTCCTCTCCTTGTAGGCCCTCTTCACGTAGAGGAAGATTGCTTTGGATTCTCCACACAACCTTCTCTTCTTCAGGTTGAACACCCCCAACTTCCTTAGCCTGTCTTCATAGCAGAGGTGCTCCAGTCCTCTTGTGAACTTTGTGGCCTCCTCTGGACTTGCTCCAGCTGTTCCATGTCCTTCTTATGCTGGGAGCACAAGAGCTGTACTCAGCACTCCAGGTGGGATCTCACAGATAGAGGGGAAGAATCACCTCCTTAGACCTGATGGCCCTGGTCATCCAAAGGCAACATCCTTTGGATGCTGCTCAGGATTCTGTTGGTTTTTCATCAGCCATCACCCCTAAGTTCTTCTCCTCAGGGCTGCCCTGAATCACTTCTCACAACACAACGACATGTTGATATGTCTGGGATTGCCATAACCCAGGTGCAGGACCTTTTATTTTGCTTTGTTGAACTTCATGAGGTTTGCACAGTGCTACCTCTCCAGCCTATCCAGGTCCCTCTGGATCTTTCCCTTCCCTCCAGCCTGTGGCTGCACCACAGAGCTTGGTGTGATGAGTGAATTTGCTGAAGATGCCTCCATCCCACCGTCCATGTCACTGACCAAGCTGTTGAACAGCATCAGCCCCAGTCCTGACCCCTGAGGGACTGCACCCATCATTGGTTTCCATGTGGAAAATTTGCTGTTGGCCACAACTCTTTGTGTGCATCATCCAGCCAGTTCCTTCTCTACCAAGTGGTCCACCCATTAAATCAGTGTCTCTGCAATATGGAGACAAGGATGCTGTGTGGACAGTGTCAAATACTCTGCAGAAGTCCAGGTGGGTGATGTCAGTCACTCTGGCCCATCCACCAACACTGCAGCCCTGTCATAGAAAGTCACCAATTTGATCAGGCATAAATAGGCAATAAGAAGTTTGTAGTTCTTAGCTTATTTCAATTATTTTAAGAACTTTTCAATTTAACCCTGCTCCTAGTATTTGTACAATTGCTATTACACAGCATTGGTAGTATAGAGTAACAGACTGAAGTGGAGACTATAACCTGTAGAAATGTTTACCAGCCCAATTTTGTGCCCTGCAGCATGGACTGGATGCTCCAGTGAACATCTATTAGTTATCCTGCTACCTAATAGGAATATTTCTTTCAGGAAGCAAATCCCTTTAGAAAGTTTCCACCAGTATTTTTTCTTTTTTTTCTTTTTTTTTTCCTGGGTTATTATTAAATAACCCAAAGGCTCCACACAAAGAATCCAGAATATAAATTTTTCTGCCTATGAGGGGATATAGGACACTAAGCATGTCCAAGGATGTCTGCCATAGGGATTGCCGCCAGTCTGGAACATTCAGCAGCTAAGCAGGCACTGAGGCATCCTCACTGCTGAAACCTCAGTCTGCTGTGGGGCTAAGATGGCATTTAAGAGACATTTCCACAAGATATGTTTGGATTTAAAACTTTGTTGACAGGCATCAGGGCTCAGATGGGTGGTTTGGTGGGATAGTTCTGAACTGGAGATAGGGATGGGATTTACCTTTGCCTCAGGGTGTTGTAGATTAAATGATCCCTCATGTTTTCCTAGCTACAGGGAGAGAAAATGAGGCATAAGGGAGAATGTACCTGATTTGCTTTAGAAATCTGTGTTAGGCTGAGTTGATTTGCCTGTCTTTAGTATTTAAAGCAAAAACTTAATAACAGAAATGACTAAACATAGGTATCTAGTACTATCTGAGATGCCCAGGGGGGTGTGTAATTCCTTAGCAGGTCTGCAAGACATAGGTTCTATCTTTAAAAATTAATGCTGTGCTTAAGAGCAGTCTTTCCTCTCAACTCTGTTAAATACATCCGTGATGTGTCCTTTCTTTATTGAATCACAGCTACTTATGAAATCAGCCTGCTTTACATACTGTAACACCACTTTTCTCCCCAGTGAACAATGCAAGTCATCAGTCCCACCATTCAGGACCTTCTTGCATGACTGAGGGAAAATGAAAAATTATTTTACTTTTCTTTTTTTTTTCCTTTATTTTTTCCCCTGTGCTTTGTTAGACATTTGTCCTCACGTGGCACAGGTGAAGATGCCCACTCTGCAGGGCAGAGAGGTATCAAAGCCATTTGTTTTAGTGGGCTCTGCATCTCGTTTGAGGTGGATTTTTCCTCAGTGTTGCAGATTAGAACTAGCAAGAGAATTAAGGTGGGCAATTCCTCAGTGGTAAAACCTAGCCACGCTGAGCCAAAGAACCTGAAGATAAAGGACAACTCTCTCCTGCTATTCTCATGTGTCTTCTTGAAATCAGAGATGCAGCTTCCAAAAAAAAAAAAAAAAAAAGCCCCAATAAGCAAACTTAGAAAATACAATCTTGCAAACTGGTTACACACACCTCAGCAGGTACATTCTGCAGTACACATCCTGATTTAGCAGAAATAGGATCTGTCTGTGTTCTCAGGGATCTATTCAGAATAACCATGGGTTTTGCTGTCAGCTGGTTAATCATGGAACAGATGATTTAGATGTGCTCACCATCATTACTGCAATGAGATCTTCTTGCCCTGCATTTAAAATTACAGCAGGGAATCTCCTGGGCCACACATGCATCAAATATTTTTTAGCTCTTGAGACGGGTTTCAGGATCTTGTCTAATTTTACATGCATTACATTTTTAAAGATTAAAATAGATAACATATTTCTTATTTCTTTTTAGAGTACTAGAAAGCCCCTTTGAGTAAGCTATTCCGTATATCTCTGAGCAGACATCAAAATTGTTGCCTAAAAGAAGATTAATTAAAAAATCTTTAGGGATATGGTTTATAAGATACTTGGAGGCTGTGAAATCAGAAGTTACTCCAAGGAGGTCTGACAGTGTAGGCTGGCTGGCACTTTTTCCTCCTCAGTCAGGTAGTTCCAGTTTCTCCCACAGTCATGAGATATATAGAAAACGATTTTATATGAACCAGATTATGACTCTGTAAATGAACACGGTGTGGAGACACTCTCTTCTAGAATATCTTGAGAAATGCTGCCAACAGCACACCATCAAATCACAGAATTGCTTGGGCTTGAAGGGACCTTAAAGAACATTTCATTCCAGCCTCCCTGCTAGGGACAGGGACACCTTCCACTAAACCAGGGTGCTCCAAGCTCCATTCAGCCTGGCTTTGAACTCTTCTGGGGCTCACGCATCCACAGCTTCTCTGGGTAACCTGTTCCAGGGCCTCACCACCTTCACAGCAAAGAACTTTTCCCTAATATCTAACCCAAACCTACTCTCTTCAGTTTGAAGCCATTCCTTCTTGTTCTGTCACTACCTGCTCTTGTAAAAAATCCCTGTCCATCATTTTTTGTAGGCTCCCATCTTTTATAACCATTTATCCAGGTTTGATACCTTAATAGGAAATACCATCCAGTTCATTTTCTTGGTGCCTCGAGCTCATAGATTCATATAATCTGCAGCATTCAGGTTGCAAGCAGAGATCTGGCAGCAGGAAGCAAATCCCTTTAGAAAGTTTCCACCAGTGATTTTTATTATTTTTTTTTTTCAGTATTTTCTAGACAGGGTTTCACAATGTCCTGCAAACAGTACCAGCTCCTGAAAGAACTGTCATGGCTTATGAGCATTACATAGCTTTGCACTGACATTTTAGGATGGAAGTGACATTTGATTGTTGTGACCTTGTTGTGTCTTGTGATGTTCCAGTGCAAAATGAGAGCCTCACAACATGCCTTCCCTGTAACACCTCTTTGATAGATAAATGGCAGCTGAATGCCTTGATTTCACATGTCTCTCTCAGTTAATACTCTGTATTTTGATCCTGTGGCAGTCCATTCACCTGAGGTCTTTTTCCTTTCTTATCTTCAGATCATTAGACAAAGGCAAAGTTCAGCTTGTTTGCTTCATGCATGAAAGAATTATTGTCCTGTACTGAGTAAGTGGGTTCCTTTCTGGAAGGTTTTTTCCTCACTGTTTAGTGGCTAGAGGCAGTTCCCTCTCACACAAGGAACTCACTTCTTTGGCTATTTCTCTATGCAAAGAAACCTTTACATGATAAGACAGTAATTTTTAAGTCACAATTTTTAAGTCAAGGGCTGGCCTTGAGTTTAAAAACTAAAAAGTTTAAAATTGCATTACAGCAGCAACTTTGAAAGTCGTTCCCTTCCCCAGCTTTGCTGTTTTATTCAGTTTTTTATAAAAATTCAAGAACCCCTCTAAAAAAGGAAACTTCTTTATCCTGGAAGCTGGTGTTTGACCTTTGCAGGGCACCGAGCTCTCTGCCGACAAGTGCAGAATGCAAACATTTTGGATGCATCACTCCATCTGTTTTCCTAGAACCCCAAAACCGTGCCAAGGAGTGACCTCCATCCTCCTGGCTGTGTGGAGAGGGGCTCGGGGGTGATGTCCCTGTGCTGTACCCGAGGGCTGCTTGGCAGCCATGGGTTGGAGCAGATCTGGGCGCTGGGGCAGCTGTTGCTCTGAGCGGTGCCGCCGCCGAGTTGGGTAACCATGGCAACAGCATCACCGCCAGCATCCTCCTCCTCCTCACTCGGCTCTCCTCCTCCTCGGCATCATCAGGAGCAGCAGCAGCAGCAGCAGCAGCCCTGGCAGGAGCCAGAGCCCGGCAGAGAGGCTGCAGCCAGCTGCTGCCAGCCCCTGCCCGCACCGGCACCCGGTCCCAGCCCCGGCCCCGCTGCTCCGGGGGGAACGGGGCACCGGGAGCTGCGGGAGCTGCACTGCAGAGGGATCCCAGCCAAGCCAGGTAAGAGCTGTGGGGCTGCTCACAAACTCCCCGGGATCGATGTGCTGTGTGCCTGCCGTGTGTTTGCGTGCGAGTGTTGGCCGCGAGTTTTCCGGCTTGCAGTGTGATGACAATTCCAGGCAAGCGTGTTTTCCAGCTCGTGTTCCCCATCTCTGCCATACTGTCCCTCTCTTTCTCCTCCACCCAGATACATAAGGAATAATACAGAATGTTCTAAAAGATTGTTGGAAAAGGGGATGGTGGGGGGGAACGGCTGCGCTTCTAAAATAAAAGTGGGCAGCAGCAGCGGAGCAAAGGTTGACGTGGTAATTAATAACCCTTAAAGAAAAAAAAAATTATGCGACAACGGACTTCTGTCTCTATCCACTCTACAAATAAATCTCTCTCATCATATTCAGCAGAAAGGTGTAAAGCAGAGAGGTATACGAATAGACAAGACTAGAAACCTCACTGTAGTCCACAACTGTCAGATTCACCTTAAGTGCTTTAAAACCAGACTAAATTATTACGGTATCAACAAAGCCATACCTGAGAATATATGTATGTATAGAATTGCAAAAATACTGCTCTTAAACCTTTACACCTCCTAAGAAATAAATAAAAATTAAATTATCTTAGAGATGTGTGTCTGATGGCCACACAGTAAAAGATGCTCACTTCATCTGTTGTGAGAAAGCATGCAGTGGGTTCATTTCAAAAGGTAGGAAGAATAGTTCTGATCCAAAAGCACATGAGGACAGTCCTTGTCATTTTATAAACAGAAGAGGTACAAAGCTGTGGAGTGTCCTTGTGCAGGCAAATAGATGTGGATAAGTGCATATGTCTGAGGAGCATGAAGGGAGGGACAATAAGAAGTAAGTTTAAGCCAACTGTTTAAGCTGTGACTGTTTGCTGTGTAATGACTGCAGAGAGCTCTTTCCACTTCCACAGAACTATTTTTATTTCTTTGTTTGTTTGTTATTGTCAGCAGTAAGGAGAAAGAGATCTGATGCTGCTGCTGTCTCTGTCTCCTTCTCTAAAACCCTGCTGGTGTCCCTTGTCCTCCCTAAATCATCCTTTGTGTGTAGCTGGTAATTCTTCCTAATTCAAACAAGGGGACAGTCTGTGTATGAACCAACACAATTACTCGTATACTTGTGTGTATATATATTCATATATATATATATATATATATATATATATATGTATGTATGTATGTATGTATCCTTGTACATAGGTTAAGAGGCACCTGTCTCTCATGTTCAACCTGATTTGAAAATCAGAATGGTTTTTGGTCCCAGTCCTGCATTTTTTGCTACGTCTGTAGATCCTCCTAAAATCTGCAGGAGCTGGAATATAGTTTAAGTTTATAGGTATAGAGCAGAGGGCAGAATTGCACCCAGCTTTTCTCTATGTTTACAAACATTCTCCTCCTGCAAGCTACAGAACAAGGAATTTGGGTAGGCAGGACCTCATGTCCAGTTCTTACGCAGAAGTGCTGTAAAAATTACCTGGGAATTATTTTCCATCCCAAGGGAAATTGATAAGGTAAAGGTTAGAAAAAGGAAATATAGACACCTATTTGGAATCAGTGCTTCGATTTGAAAAATAATTTCTTGAGGAACTTGACCTCATCACAACAGGTCTTCCCTTCAAGAGGCTCTTTGATCTACGGTAATGACAATGCTCACAGACACCAAGTTTAACTGAAGGGGATGATTTTGGATACTTACATTAATTAAACTAAATCACTGTAGGGCTACAGTCCTTAAGAGTCTGGGCATATTATGGTGTATTTCTGCATGAGATTTGGTGTTTTCTTCAAATTCAGAGAATATTTAAATCTCGAGACTTCTTTGTAGTAGTAACAGAGAAGGAATAAAAGTGTCTGTCAAAATGCTTGTAAAAAGAGCATAAACATAAATCTGTCTGGCATTTAGACACCTGTAACAGAGCCACAATCCTGTCTACATGTGTTGCAGAGATGTACAGTGCATAATCCAGGGGCAGCTCAGTGAGGCGCAGAGCTGCGACCCTCCCATCAGCACAAGCAGATGATTGAAGGTCAGAGGGCTCTGGGTATTGCACATTAACACTCTGCAACTATTCCTGCACAGTCCTGCTTTGCTGCCAGAGGTGGGCAGCTGATTATGGAGAAGACAGGATTCATACATGGACTTTTGATTGCTACAGTGCTGAAAACTTCTGTTAGAAATGACATCGGGTAAGGCAGGGAAGCTTGATGTTTTCATGAGCACTGCTTGGCCATAGAAATCCTCTGTGGAGGGCTGTTCATGGAAAGTCAGGGCACTGAGGCTGATATCAGTGGAACCAGCAAGGATGTTCCCCACCTCAGATATCCGGTATTTAATTCTCAGTGTCCCCCAGTCCTGCAGTTCCTTCTATTCCTTAACCTCAAAAGCTGAGGAGAGATATTTTCATTTTGCCTTATGGTTTTTTGTATTGTATTTTATGAGTTTAGTAATGGATGGGAACACAGTCTTTCTTTTGTTTTGTGCATGGCTGTTAAGAGCTGCTCCCTCAATGCTCACTTATTGTTCACTAGCACCATTCTAAGGGGAAAAAAATTATACCTCATGATATAACGAAACATCTTTTAAAATCTTTTTTGCTAATTTTCATTAGTCACCATTGTGACTCTCAGAGCTCAGAACAAAAGAAGACATACAGTAGTTTGCTGTTCTAAAGTCAACATCTGCCAACAGGTTGAGGCAGGAATTGTGGAATTGTGGAAATGCTGTAGCCAGGGTTTCGGTGTTTTTTGGGGGGTTTTTGTGGTTTTTTTTTTTTGTTTTGTTTTTTTTTTGTTTTTTTTTTTTTTTTGTTTTGTTAGGTGTTTTTTTTTTTTTAATAAGGAAGATGATTTTTCCAGGTCCTGCCCTGTAGTAAGCTGAAGCAAAAGATGATTTGAAGAGGAATGTTGTACCTTGCCTCTAGTTTAACAATACTATTAATTTTATTTTGAGCCTATGTGTACACTGATGTTTATTATTCTATTCAATTATCACTCTCTGATATTTTCCTTCCTGCAATATTATATTTTCTTCCTTTACACTCTATTGTGATTGCTAGGTTCACTGTTCTATAAGACAGACACAATCATGGAAAAGTGTTCCCAGTGAGGAGAGGGACGATGGGATCTTTACATTAGCAACTGAACACTGCTCTGTCTGTTTGGTTCCCTTAAAATAATATACCCAACTTGATACAGAAATAACCTTTTTTTTGCCAGTTTTCATCTTCTTGCAGAGTCAGACTGGTCTTGGCAAGTTCTCTCTTAGGTCTAGATGATACCCATAATGATGCAGTGGGAACTTTTGTGTCCACTGAGCAGACACCCCATCAGCACTCGGGAAGGTTTTAATTCCTTCCTGGTCTACTGGCTCAGGTGGTGATGTAAGCTTTGGGGTCTCTTTGCTCTGTAACCCCTGGGGTCCATCACTTTCCTTGCTCATGGTTTGAAACCTTCTTTCCTGCTAGTGAGACAATCTGAGTGTCTGTCCTTCCCCCCAGCACAGCTCTGACAGAAGTGTGCCAGGGGCACAAATAGTGCAGTGTCTCACTTTGTGTGTGTTTCTTCTGGTCTCCTCTGCACCCAGTTCCCTCCCCTGCATGCTGGTAGTGCCTGACATGCTGCAAGAACCTCAGGGCCTGTGATGTAGCATGACCTCTGCTCCAGGAGGGAACGGGCTGAAACCACCTGGGCAGCTGTGGCTGCTGGGCTGATCCTCCTTCAGAAGGTCAGCACCGTGACATGCCTCATCTCAACTTATTGGGAGAGTGAGTCAGAAGCTGGCTTCCTCCAAATGTTCCAAATCCAAGAGGATATGATTTTATTCTCTCTCTAATCCTATTATTAGTGCCTGCAATATTAAGGACTATGTTATTCAGCAGTTTTATTTCTTCCCCGTTCCACTGCCGCAGATGGAGCATCCAAACAAAGTGTAAAAGGAAGAATTTCTTAATTTTATACACTCAGATGCTGCTGACATCCATGTGCTGTCCCATATTGAAAGACAATACCTTTGTGGGGGGAGGGGAAGCTCTTTCTGATCCTCCTACAAATCTGCCAGAAATCTCATGGCATTTTTGCTTCTCTCTCAGGTTCAGACATGCCTTGGTGTGAATTCTTTGTTTCTGTAGCCCCTACACCTCTGACCCAGGCATGTTTGATGATGTGGTGGTTTCACAAAGATCATTTTCAGTGGTCACAGAGGGACTCACAAATTTACTTCTCTTACTGCACATGAGGCACTGCAGGTAAATGCAATATCCTGATATGTTCTTCCTACCTGCTGTGTTTTCTCATCCTTAGGATCATGGGAATAAGACAAGATAAGCAGTACTTTGACCTTTTCCTGGTATATATACTCACCCAATTATTGATTTTGTAGTAATATAATTAGTATGTGTGTGTATATGTATATGTATATGTATATGTATATGTATATGTATATGTATATGTGTATGTATATGTATATGTATATATAACATGTTTAGTAGTTATCATAATTCCTTTTTATTTGTTGTTAGCTATGTGGTGTTGTCATGGATAGCTAATGCACTCTATTGGAATTTAGGAGTGAAACTGCAGATATTAAACAACAGACTTGTACTGAAAATGCATAGCAGTGGTGTGACAGTAAATTGATGTTTGTCTTGTTTGCATGTAAACTTCAGACTCTGGTCACTGGCTTTTGAGGATTCACAGAATACAGCACAATGACAAGTGGGGCTTTCTTTTTGTAACTTGGCTTGGTAGGGACTACCTGTGCTATTAGGACTCTGATGCCACCATTTAGGAGCCAGGGGAGGACTAAGCTCTTTCTTGGTCCGGCTAGTTGGACAAAAGAACCTCCCTGTTGTATTGCTGTGCAGATCTGCATGACTGGGAAGGAATCTGGTTCTGCCTCATCTTCTAATGTGTAATTTTGGTTTCATTGTCAACATTTCATTTATTTCTGATGCTGGCCAGCACAGTCCCATTACCTTTTTATGGC